ATGGGAGAATCCTGCGTTTCAGCATTATTTGCTAGCTGATCACTATCCTTTCGGGAGCCTTTCTGATCTATGTATAAACAACGCTAAACCGTGCTATTACAACGGACCATTATTTGAGACCAAGTGGGCTTTGATATACACGGCTTCCACTCCAACCTAACCTAACCTAATAAATGTCACATACCACTTTAATAAATATATAAAATATAGGCGACATACAAAGTGATTAATATAGAAAAAATTCTATGCAAGTAGAAATTTATGGAATATATATTTAGCTCTGAGCGACTTTCGTTATACATAAATCCAATTGTCCATACTAACAGAGTCAATATTATTCTTATATCATTCTCACAATTATGCTTCAAAAAAACTGATAAATTATTTATATTAAAAAAAACAAAGATCCAAAGGGTTCTGTTAGAAATGAAAGACAACAACAAAAATTTTAGTTTTAGTTGATTGAAATTTGGCGTTGTATAGTCAAGCAACTTTCAATAAATTAACTAAAATCTTTGTTGTTGTTTTTCATTACTATTTGAACCTTTAAAAACATATTCAATTTTTTAATTATTTTTATTTACAAATATTTTGATTATACAATTTATATTCAAAATTATATTATATATTGTATTTATGAACCAATCTTTTTTTTCTGCGTATTTTATTTTTTTTTATTTTTAATTTTATATTCAAAATAACCGAAAATTTATAATAACACAATAATTATCACACAAAAAACCATCTTTAAATTACCATCTATTAACCATTTAAAATAATTGCAAAATTTGTGAAAAAAATTGTCAATAAATAAAATATTTAATTGTAGACACAAAATCCATAGAAATGTAGCGTGTTGAGATGATACTAATTATTAGTTTTTATTATACATAGGGTTTATATATTTATATTTGTTGTTTAAACAAAATGATAAGATAAATTACAATAACGCAAATTTATTTAAAGCTGTGACAACTGAGCGCTTGCGATGCCGCCAGCAGATCACTCATGATACATTGTATCTCATGATATCTCATGATACAATGTATTTTTCGCACGCGCTCGGAATCCAAAACTAAATTATAATTAAAATAATATATTAATTAAATATAATAAAATAAATTAAAACGGAAAAAAGTTGCGTGTTTCCCAAGTCCATCAACAAACATCGCATTTCGATCGCCGCGTAACCCGCGCGGCATCGCTTCAGCAATCAAATTGAATGACATGCAATAGAACCGCTCACCATGTAGACTTGTACGAGAACCGCTCGTACAATTAATTCAGACAAATCAACAAGGTTTTAAGATTATTTACAGAATTTGAGACTTGCTATTTAAGTATGCACAGTACACACTTGGCTTTTTATTTCAATTTTACAGTTTATCGCGAACGAGTGGTGTTGTAAAGTAAACATATAATAAAATTTAATAATTTTATTTACAAAACAATATATATAAAATAAAATTAATAAAAAACTAACTATAAACACTGTTTCAAAATGAAGATTGAATACAGCAAGGATATAGCACAACCTCCGGCCCATTTGGATTTAAAATTTTTCGAAGATGTCATCGAAAACGCTCTACGTCAATCTACATTCAAAATCCACAAAATCCATTTTTCGATGGGCAGTAAAACAGGCGAAAATTATTGTAGTGAAATCTATCGTGTGCAGATCACTTATAGTGGAAACAACTATGAGAAGTTAAAAAATTTATCTCTGATTATCAAAAGTATGTTACAAACTGAAGCCACTGATTTCCTGATTGACTTGGATGTTTACATCAAAGAAAAAGTTATGTACCGTGACATCTTACCACGCCTAGAAATGTTATTACCAGATGGTGCTAAATTCGGTGCAAGGTTGGTATGAATAGTACTCAATCAGCTACTCGCGTATCACATAATAATACTATAACGATAATAGCACAAAAGTCAAAATGAAATTATAATTAAAATAATATACATTCATTAAATTGGGTGCAAGGTTGGTATGAAAATTTTTTACAAAATGTGTAGCAGATTAGTTGAAGGAAATAACTTCAAATATCAAACTAAAAAAAGTGTTTTATGATTATGTGCAAATATTATGTATGCATTCTATGTAATGGCGAACTCAAACTATTAGGAAAATGCATTCTATGAAAGGTTTAATCGGATTTTATTTTTATAGGATAACAGCTTTGTTATATCGGTAAAAAAAAGGGACATCGAAGTTTTTAGATCTTCTCATAGCTAAAGATAAACACTGACACATGGACTGAAACACAGTTTTCTCTTCATTCGCAAAACCACAACCTCCACAAAAATCATTATAAGATAGACGAAGTTTCATAGCACGTCTTCCTACTACACAGTGACCAGTCAGCGCCGATACCGTAATACTGAGCAGGTAACGCCTTAGTTGAAGCAGCTGACTGGTGCGTTTTTTGGTCTAGTTTAAACCAGGTCAAAACCTGGAGATCTAACAAAATAATTCATCTCTTCAATCTTGCTTGGCAATGCTCAGATATTTTTGTTTGTTTGGTAGTTTAACTGTCACAAGTGGGATACCAATATCTAAGAACTGAATGTCGGGAAGCAGAGTACCTGTCTCATCTCTTCTACAGTTGCCCGCGATGTCCCTATATCAAGGAAACCAAGTGAGTTGTATACTAACACATCTAATTAGCTCCTTAAAGGATACTCGGCATTCTTGAATTGCTACTGTAGTGCCTACTGGGGATTTAATGACAGCTTGACTGTCCGAAAAAATTACAATTTTTCACAATTATTATATTTATAAAAACTTTTTGTGTTTATAAAAACACAAAATATTCATTTAAACATATTGTCATATCGCCTTCTGAGTTCTTTTTTTCTGAAGCAATACAGATCTGTCAACAATCAACCAATGCATTACAGGGTTTATTCATACTAGCGGCAAATTAACTCTTTGAAAAGTTTTTAGTTACGTTCACACTACCATTAGACTTAAAGGTTTAAATTTTTTTTTATTTTATATAATTACCATATATTAAATATTTATATAAAATAGTACACAGATACACAACTGTTACTAACACAAAAAAAATGTTCCCTATGAGAAACCAGTTCTAAACAGATTTCGGAATAGCCTTCAGCCTCCTCTTACTCGTTTCTATTAGATACCGATTTCAAGTAGATTTTGAAAGGGCGCTAAGTTCCAACTGAAATGGTTGTCAACAGACAGAAAAGTTGTTAATATACCACTTAGGTACATTGATGTTGAGATATAAAAAAAAATAGGAAAACTATGATACTTGTTAAGTTCTTATATGCCTCTTTGTAATAATGCATGAGCTTGATGCAAAATTTAACAAAACTGGAAGACAGTTTGATTACTGTTTCACTTTGCGATAAGTACTTATAACAAACCATACAAACTTAGAACAACGACTATCGGGCCGTGAGCATAACTCTTCAACGATTTTAACGTGGCTTTCGCAGTTTTAGATTATTTTTGTTCTGCATTCTAATAGCTGTTAGATTATTTAATTGACACTTCAGTTCACAGCATTAATAGTTTACGGTTACGTTTTTGACGATTTAGATTCGTTATGTTAAGTATACCATCTCAAGATCCAATTTTTCAATTATATTGCGAATACTAAAATATTTTTTTTCATTTTAGATTATATTTTAGCCTTAAGGAACCAATTAAAACTCTAGTTTTCGAAGATCTATGTGACAAAGGTTTCGAAGTCGCATCAAGAGAATCGGGCTTAGATGTAGCACATGCTCGCCTCGTATTACAAAAACTTGCACAATTTCATGCAACATCTATGGTGTTGGCTAAAAAGGTGAATAATATTAAATATATTTGTAGAGGTTTAATAAACATGTA